TGAAATAGTTCATGAGAGAAATAATTGGTCTTTAATAAATTTATTATTCTTGAGTATTTACTTATTAGAATTTATTATTTTATTATAGAAATTTTATTAGAAATGAAAATTTATGATCATTATTTACATGGTCATGGGTCCATTTCAGGTGAATTTTGACGGATCAATATTTTAAAATAAAGCTACATTTGAGGGCTAAAGGTGTAGCCAGCACACATGTGAGATCCTTAATCCCCAGCTCTGAAATTAATTAACTGGCTAAAAAGTGCAGTTTGTGAGACTGAAAAAATAATTTTTTCCTCCCACACTGCAACCAGACCATAGCACTCACAGATATCAGGCAGTTGCTGGGCAACTTGAAAGGCTGAGACCAGAAGATTCAAAGCCAGCCTGGGACTGTGCTCTCTCTCTCTCTGTCTCTCTCTCTGTCTCTGTCTCTGTCTCTCTCTCTGTCTCTGTCTCTGTCTCTCTCTCTCTCTCTCTGTCTCTCTCTCTCTCTCTCTCTCTCTCAAAACAAACTGCTACTTACTATGAACTTGTGGACCTTTCTTAAAGTATTAAATAAAAAGAACTTTTCTGTTGTAACACTCTGTCTCCCTACAATTAACCCAGTTAGTAACTGTTCCATGAATATAAAATACAAAATATTTTATGTGTTACACCCCAGATTATACACATATTCTCTGTATTACACGCACATGCACAGTCATACCATACATACTGCTTCTTATCTTGTTGAAAGATATACCTTTAAGATCTGTTCAAATCTGCAGATGGAAATCTTCTTCATTCTTTGTTAATTACAAAATATGCAGCTGAATGTCTGTGTAAGAAGTCATTTTTGAATGGACAAACACTTGGGTGGTTCCGACGCTTGCTAACACTGCTGCGATGCATGTTGATGCATAAAGTCCTAGTTGCCAAGTTGCTGCGTCAAAGTGTACACACATTTGCCACCTTGACACATTGCCCTCTTGATGGATTTGCCATGTTTTGCTCCTACACACTAGAACTAAGGGCTGCAACTGCAAGGTATCTTCTGTTAACACTTGTTTCTGTCTGTGGTCAGGGAAGGCACTCAACCCAAAGACTAGCAAGAACCTGTTGCTTCTAGAATTCCTTCCCTGGGAGACATAAACATTTACCTCCTCCTAACAATGTCCCAAGGACAAAGACAAACCAAAGCACAATTCCACCAAGTTCACCCTGGGAACTAACAAGTTTGTTGTTGTTAAATACAGAGCATGAATGAACAGGGGGAGCGTGGGTGAGCTCAGAGCAACCATACTGGACAAGCTTCATTCCGCATGGGCAATGGTTTCACCGTAGGTGCATACATGGGACCCCTATCAGTTAACTTTCCCCAGCACTATAGCACCTCCGGAAGTAGCACCCCTTAACCCCTGCCCACATGCAATTAGGACAAAATTGCAAAGCCTGAAATAGTGACTTAAATCTGAGATGAGATTCAGTAATGTCAAAAGTCAACAAGCCTGCTCTGATGGGGGATGTTCTTCTTTATATATGTTTCTCTTATTAGTTGATGAGTAAAACAGTGTTTGGCCAATAGAGGCAGGAAGATAGTGGAACTAGGAGATGAGGAGAATTCTGGGATAGGTAGGCAGAGAGGGATCTCGAAGAGACGCCATGTAGCCAAGGAAAGAGTAACAGGTCCAGACCCTTCTCCAGTAAGATAAGACCACATGAAAATACTAAGATTAATAGAAATGGGTTAATAATTAACACAGAGCTAGTCAATAAGAAGCCCTAGCCTTCTACCAACAGTTTTATTATTAATATAGCATTTGGGGCTGGAAGTGGCATCAGAACCTGGCAGTACAGAAAACTCTGACGACACTGCTCTTTGTTTATTTTTTTTCAATGTTTTTTTAAATTAAGATGTAATTATATAATTTCCCCTTCCCCTTTCCTTTCCTTCCAGCTTTTCCCATATCTCCTTCATTGCTCCCTCACAAATCATTGCCTCTTTTTCTTTAATTGCTATTTTTATACACACACACACACATACATGCAAAAATATACAAGCACAACTTTCTCAATTCATTTAATGTTGCATATATATGCATATATATATATGATTTCAGGGCTGACCAATTGGTGTTGGATAGCCAAATAGGAAACTCCTTCCTAGGGAACACTCTTTCTCCCACTCAGTAGTCTGTAGTTCTTAGTACCCTGTAGTTCTTTAGCTGGGAGTGTGGCCGGTGGCCCAGTGAGATTTCCCCCTCCCATGTTAGTAGGATTTCTGACGTTGTCTTTGTTCAGGTCTTGTTTAGGTACTGCTTTGTTTTTGTTGTTTTGTTTTATTTTGAGACAGGGTCTCACTATGAAGCCCTGGTTGGTCTTGAACTCACAAAGATCCACCTGCATCTGCCTCCTGAGTGCTGGGGTTAATGCATATGCTATTGTGCTCTGCAGCAGCCATACTGTTACAGTATTATGTGGGAAGTTCCCCTGACATTTCTGCTCCTCTGTCTTTAAAATCTTTCTGCCTCTCTTCCTCAGTGTTTCCTGAGACCTAGTTGCAGGGACTTTATTGTAAATTTATTCACTAGGCTGAGCACCCAAGGATCAGTTGTTCTCTGCATTTTGGCCAGTTGTGGTTTTCAGTAAATGGTATCTGACTGTTGGAAGCTTCTTTGATGAGAAATGGAAGCTGAACTTATCTGTGGTATAAGGATTAGTACTTGGAATACTTAGAAATTATGCTGGCTGGGCTTGGCAGAATCAGCAGGGAAAGAAGACCCTGTTGAGCTTGACTCTAGTCTGGCACGGTGAAGAGACATGAGAGGTGTAGAATAAGTGGGAGGCCCCCCGGCAGGCCCTTCCTCCTCCCCCCCCCCCCCCCGTGAGGGGTCGGGCTGGGGTCTGCCGGCCTCATGGGCCGCTGGTGAAATACCAATACTCTCATCATTTTTTCACTGACCCGGAGGTGTCAGAAAGATTACCACAGGGATAACTGGCTTGTGGCAGTCAAGCATTCATAGCGACATCGCTTTTTGATCCTTCGATGTCGGCTCTTCCTATCATTGTGAAGCAGAATTCACCAAGCGTTGGATTGTTCACCCACTAATAGGGAATGTGAGCTGGGTTTAAACCGTCGTGAGACAGGCCTGGAAACATCTTTCTGAGAAGAACATGCTGGCCTCCAACTCACTCCTGCTGGGGCTACAAGAGATCCATCTGCCTGTCTGTGACATACAAAAGAAGAAACTTCATCACCCCAACATAAGAAGGAAGACTCCTGCTTCATTCAGGAGATACAGGTCCTAAGTGGCTGTGTGTAGTCAGAGGAGAGAAGGAGGAGACTGCCACGATCTGAGGATTCTGCCAGTAGCATTTCATTGAGAAAATATAGTTGCACCTAGGATTAAACGGGAGACGAGGGGAATATGAACTCTGGGTGGGTCTTACGACAGGCACCAGTCATTATTAGGCATTTCTCTTTGTTGTTTGTTTTGATTTTTGGAATTTTTTTTTGGAGACTCGATTTTGACCAAGATGGCCTCACTGAGATAGTGAGCTGAGCACTGGGATTAAAGGCATGCACCAACACTTCCAGGCAACACCAGTCATATGTTAATGGGAAGGCCATTGAGTTCCTTCCAGGGGAATGAATGGAGGAGGCCCTTACACAAAATGCCTGATCTGTCTGGGGGGAGCAGGTGCTTAATGACACTGCCATCTCTCCCCTACTAGCTCCCCTACTAGTTCCTGTTCTTGGTGTTCGTTAGGAGGGCACAGTGGAATTCCTGTTCCCCTGGTGTCAGGGATTTTATTTTTCCCATAAAGAATCATTTTGTTTAGAGAGCCCTCTTTCACTGTAAACAAGTGAATAAATGGATGGATGGACCAATAAATAAATAAATAAATAAATAAATAAATAAATAAATAAATAATGCTGGCTTAGTGAGATGGTGGTAAGAAGTTGTCCTCAAGGCATAACCCTTCTCCCCCATTGAAAGGGGGAAAGCCACTTGGACAATTGTTGGTTACCACCAAAACATGAGTGCCACTATTGCAGCCTGAAGGACATCTTGCCATGCTGGCCATTGCTGTGGATGATAGGTATCACATTTGGGTAGGACTATTTGTAGCTTCTCTCTCTGGGCAGATTGCACAGAACCCTCTGTTACTATGAAAGGTAGTCTTCTGGGAAGAGACCAGCTCAGACTGCACAGTCCCATGTTTGACTTGCATGGTGTGTTTCCTCAGTAATCAAGCCTGTTCTTGATAGCTGTATACAACCAGACTCTGCAGACCTAATGAAGACAGCAGTTACTTACTCAGAGCACCATGCTCTGCAACACTCATCAACCTTCTGTAGAATTCTCCTCCACTTAGCAGTGTACCAGGACATTCACTGGGTCCTGATGACAGCTCTTGGAGTCACTTGTCTTATTTCAAGAGTTAGTTTATTATATACTTATATATTTGCCATATTAGTCAAAGGATATCCACAATACCAAATTTCCTGATAAAAGGAAAATATTACATCTTTCCTGTTTTTTATTTTGTCCTTGGGACATCTATAGTCCCTGCATCTGGCTACTTACATTAATTAATACTTGTTTTCCTTATGTAGAACTTTTGCTCCAAGAAATCAAAACACATTATGAACATTATCTCATTAATCATGAAACATCCCTTTAAGGAAGACATTTTCAACTGTATTTCAAAGGAATACAGAGTGTGGGCCAGAGTGCTAAGGATCCTCCTTAAGGGTTTACATGAATTAACTGTTTTTTTGTTTGCTGGCTTTCTTATTTGAGTTCAGAGAAATTCATGGCAGAGGTTCTCTAGGTTTTCTTCATTAAGAGAAGTCTTGATACTTTTACAAAACTCTAACAAGCAAAACAGGGCAGAGGTCTCCAGATGAGCCAAGGGAGGTTGCAAACTCTTAGTCCCAAAGGATTTAGCTTCTTCCATTAAACAATTACAAAAAGAATAGTTAGGCCACAGACAGAGAGAAAACCACATTGTGGACTAAAGTTTATTAATCTTAAGATCCGTGGAAGTTTAAATGAGGGTTGGCTTCACAGGGGTGGTTTAAATGAGACAACTAACCTATGCAACTTTATGAGGTACCCTCAAGGCTTAATCAAACTGGAATGGAGGGCAGTAAACTAAAAGTTTTACTGTTAGTTTTAATAGAATCAGTAGATAGTAGTGTGAACATGGAGGCAAATCTGATAGATTGCCCAGTTTCCCTTGCCAAGTAGTGTCTGATGAACACTGGCAGAAGTGCCTGATGTCACCACTTCGCACAGCACACATGGCATCAGCATGTGGACTCCAGTGCTGGGTGCCTAGAACTCTGGCCCAACATAAAGAAGATTATCTACAGAAAGGCCCAGGAAGGCAAAGAAAGACGCAAGAATGGCGCTTCTGGCTTAGTGTGAGACCAGTTACAGACAGACAGTGGGTCCCACCCACATCTCATTTCTGTTCCTCTCTCATTAAAGGTAAGAGTATGGACACATAAAGGATGGGAATGTATCTCACATAGAAATTCCATTCTGGGATCTTCCTGAAGTTCTGAGGCCTTAACAATGGCTACCATTGCTTCCTCTTGCTGTAGTTTAAAACAGAGGGCTATGACTTCAGACAGGACAGGCTGTATGGGAAATAGAAAAAAAATCCATAAATAAAACCCATTATCTTGCTTTGTCATTTCAGCCAAGAGTGACTTATGAACCAGTAGCGGAGATTAAACTGCAACACACAGACTTTTCCAGAAAGAATGCTACAGCACATTTTTTTTTCCATTTCAAATACTAGAATAGAAGGAATTAAAAAAAAAAAACAATGTGGAAAATGCTGTGAGCTTCAGTTAGGAGAACTTACTTGCTTTTTGTGGCATCCAAATTAGATGTGCCCATTTTCCTTGCTAAAAACAGTGGAGCTTGGCTGCATACTTCATGTCCACGTTAATTCCACTGTAACAAGAAATTTCTCATTGTTCTTACTGTTTCAAGTTGTGTAAAATTATGAACACTCAAGTAGGTATACCGAAAACAAAAAACAAAAAAACTGCACGGTGCTTAGCGCAAAAGTTTTTATGGTGACACACGATCAGTATCTCTGACATTGGAGGGACACAGTCAAGGTGACCCAGCTCACTTACACACACTGACACCTTCAGACAAGGCCAGACTTGGGGAGTTCTGTTTCCTATAGGCTTGTCATAAGAAGATGGGGCAAATTGCCAGATCTTATACACATAAATTTTCTTACCCTCCTTTTTCCCAGCTATGGGGTGTCTCCTGGTGATTTCACAAGACGCCCATTGCACTCCTGAGCAAAGCCTGCTCCACCACCCCACCCCAACTTATCCACACACATGGCATAGTTTAAGTAATTTGTTGCCAGACTCTAAATCGCTGCTCTCTCCACCCCTGGGGTAGCTTGGTGTTAATCACAACAAGCCTATCCTGTTGAGTCTCTTTAGATCACTTAGAGTTTTACTGGACTCCAGAGATATTTGTACCAATCTGAAATTCAAGGTTTGCTTCCAAGATTTAATTTAATTCATTTGATCACTTTACAAGCCATTGATACTGCTAAATGTACAGGGGAGCTTTTTAATTATCCTTTTCCTTTCAGCGGTTTGGGAGACTATCAATGCAGGAGACTTTGAATTCTCTAAAAAATGGTAGCCTTGTCACAGAATCATACAATTAAATCAGTTTAGATCCAGAGGAGATGGCCACACTATCTATGATGGGTCTCTTGTGCTATGAAAATGAAAGTTTTCAATATGATAGTTACCTAAATATGTCATCCCTTTTGGGTAAAATAAGGGAAGCATATGGTCCGAACTTGAAAAGGCATATACCACCAAACGGTGAGCAATAAATCTTTGCCTCCTGCCATCTAGTTGGCATCCCTGGCGGAAATCACTGCTACATGTTCTTATGATTTTTTCCAGAGATATACAATGCATACCTTGACATCCTTTCAGCCAGAGCTTAAACCTGGTGATGCCCAAGAGGTCATAAATTAATCACATTTTCTAATTATTTAAAGTAATAGTGAGATTTAAAAAAAAAAAAAACAGGGTCTCACGTTGCCCAGCTCATCATACAATGGAAAATGCCCTTGAACTAAAGATCCTCCTGCCTCTACCTTTCCAGGGTTGGGATTGAAAACACTTGTTAGCAGTGTTGATTATATAGTGCTAGGGGTGAGACTCAGATCTCTTCCTTGTTGGGCAAGCACACTCCCAAGTAAGTTACATCCTTAGCCCTATGGTGGGTAGATCATGTGACTTCAGTCTTCAGTGTGTCACTTACTTGGGCAACTTCATTAATATAGTCCTAAATTTCTCCATTTATTTGATGGGTCTAATGGAATCTGCCAGGTGGTATTATCAGGATTTCATGAGGTAATATACCAAAGATCTGGGCCCACCTTGCATAATGTACAATACTTTTGTAAGGACTTTCATTTCAAATTCAAAAGTCTTTTTAAGGTAGGAATTATGGTAGCTTGAATGAAAAATGTCCCCGTTAACTCATACATTTGAATATCTGGTCCCCAGATGATGGAGCTATTTGGGAAGGCTTAAGTGGTGGAGCCTCGTTGAAGAAAGTATGTCACTGGGGGTGGGCTTTGAGAGTTTATAGCCTTACCCTACTTCTAGGCTGTTCTCTCCACTTCATGTTTATAGTTGAAGATGTGATCTATTAGCTTCCTGAGCCAGTGACTTGATGCCATGCCTCCCTAGCCATTATGGGATCACCCTTGGCAATCAGAAGTCCAAATGAACTTGTTTCTTCCTTGGTCATGGTTTTTTATCACAGCATAGAAAAGTAAATGATATGTAAGTGTAGGTGTCTGAAAAAAATCTATATCATAAATAAGTATTGCTACGCTGTCTATTTACTCCCTCAAAACTTTGATTAAGTTACTTGATTTCTGTTTTATTCAGTTTTAAAACATATCATTAATACTTCTCTTTTATCTTCTTAGAGACTATTACACACAACCTGAAAGACAGATGCCTCCCTCAAATATGCTACTTTCAAAGATTTTATACAGATAACATTCCTGGTAGTTTGAATGATCAGTGCCTCTATAGTCTTGGGCATTGGAATACTTGGTCCCTAGCTGGTGGCACTGTTTGGGTAGGTTTAGGAGGTGTGGCCTTGCTAAAGGAAGTACATCCCTTGAGGTGGAGTTTGGGAGTTTAAAGGCTAGCAACATCTCTAGTTCTCCCCCACCTCTCTCAATTTCCTGACAGCAGCTCAAGATGTGAGCTGTCATCTTGCTGCCATGTTTCCCTGCCTTATAAACACATTCTTCTATAAGTTGCCTTGGTTGTGGTATTTCATCACAGCAATAAAAAAGCAATATCACACTGTTGAGAAAGTAAGAGACGAGAGGAATCTTTGCTAATGTAAGAATGCAGTCGGCAACACAATGGAGGTGATGCTAAGAGTTAGGATTGATGAATTCCTAGTTATATTTTTGGTGCTCTGGAGAAAGCCAGGAAATCAACTCATTCAAATGAAAGTTTTTCAGTACAAGTGAAAGAAAAATCTAACCAAATAGTTTAAATTATTAATCCCCAGGCCCACATGTCTGAGAATGCTGATTTTAAGAAAACTAAGAGTCGAGAGTATCATTGTTTCCTTTTTTCCTCTGCTACATGATGCTGTTTTCCTCTTGGAACATTTCCGCTAACAACAATTAGCTAGCAACTCCAGCACCAAGCTTCCTAAGTCATAGCGTACAAAGCAGTGAAGACCTTGAAATAGGCCCTGTGGATTAGAGAGGAATTTTCTCTCTCAAAAACCTGAGCTATTGTCTCTTTAACTTCATTGTTCAAAACTGGTTCCCATGTTTAACCCTGAGTCAGTGCCCTTAGCAGGGAAATGCAATGCTGCTCCTTAAATCAAGATAGTCAAAAGCATTCACTGAAAGTAGACAGGCAACCTGATCTTCTAACTGGAAGTTAGAAGAGTTAATGAAGAGTGGAAAACTGTTGATGGTAAGGAGGGATTTCTCAAACATCAAGTAGAGCCCTTGCTTCTACTTCTTTCTGCTGTGGCTTTCCACGCCATGCTCTTGGCTGGGTCCCTGTGCAAGGCTTCATTATAGTTTCCCTTGGAATCTGATACGCATGTGTTCAAGACTTGACATGGACAACTCTCACACCTTTGACCTTAAAACTCCAGTTCTTCCAGTTTCCAGCACCAATTGTTTCTGTGGCTAGGAAAACATTCCCAACACCATTCTGAAACAGGCTTGGTCTGACCTACAGACAGACTCCTGGAGTTTGGTCTTTAAAGGTCCCAGGCATGGGACACAGACAAACCTGGATACATCTTCTCAGGAAAGAAACAGCTCCTTTTAGTAGATGTGGACACAGAGGTGTTCAACTTTGGCACAGTCCTAGTGATGAAATTAATAGGAAGAAAATGGCAGCAAATTTAAAGAGTAAAAAAAGTCACCGTGATAAAAAATTGGGCCCTGTGGCTACTCAGACTTGTGCTTTAATCACTGGGTTACTTCTCTGACATTAATTTTATGGACCACCAAAACACTTCTTTTGAGAGAAATTTATAGAATAAACTAAAGCTTTTACCATAAATCTAGATATATAAAAAGATATTAATCAAGCTTCTTATATCCTGGGTGGTAAAGTCTCAAAGCATAGATTTTCACTTCCTCAAAATCTTTTCAAAGACTGGAAGGAAGCCTAAGGCAAAAGGATTGTGAATTTCAGGTCATTCTTAGCCACATACCAACCCTGAATTTCATGAGACACTTATATCCAAAAGCTAAAACAACAAAAAACAAAAACTGAACAGACTAGGGGGAGGTGTATATTTTGGAAATCTATTCCAACTTGCCCAGCAGAATCCAGAATTTCTCTTGTCTTTTAGATGTCAGCTAACAGCTGCTGGATATCCTGGCCTCGTGGAGAATGACTCCTATCTAAATAACAATATACTTGGGCCAAGGGTGAGTCCACACCCACCCTGAAGGTGAATGAGACATCCTGATGTGGGGTACTTGAAGGCTTGAGTACATGCTGCAAAGGAGTGTCTTTAGGATTAAGAGAAATAATTGCTGTCAGCCCTTTACACATGATAATAGATGTCTTCTGCCATTGCTCCCACCTTTGGATGGTTACTTAAGATGATGAATCAATACACTGGGCACCTTCAGTATTAACCGATTGTCTTCCCGTTATGACCAGATGTTTCTGTCTTTTCTTTAATATCATTGGATAGCTAGGCTTCCCTCATCCACACTCCCCCAATCAGGATCAGACCCAGGGTTGTTCGGCTAGTGCTGATCGCAGCCCCAAAGACACCATTCCATGATAACTAACAAAATACCACAGAGTATTTCACTTCACATAACCTATTTTCTTCTTCCGATTCCCAGTAGAATGCAGAGAGCCCCTCTGCCCTACAGCCCATCAGAGGCATTCACTGGAGAGATTTTGAGGAAGACAGTTGCTTTTCCACTAGGAAAAGAAGTGTGTAGTTTTTTTTTTCAGAAGCCCAACTAAACCTCTGCAAAAGCTAGAGAGACAGATCTTTCCCTTCCCTCTCTTTCAGTGCATTCAGGATCTTGGACATGAGTAGCCATCTAACTGGGTATTACTATTAAAATGTAGAGTAAATAAGGACAGGATTCACCAGATCAGTCTCTATAAACCTAGAAGTGAGGTTACCAAATTGTTTTCCTAAATCACAGAAATTATACTGACTTAAATACTTAAGACTACAACATTTTTTGAGATAAAAATACTTTTAAAATAACATTAAAACAACAACAAAGAAATACACGGGTCTGGGAATGTAGCTCTGTGGTAGAGCCCTTGCCACAAAACAAAAGAAGTCCTAGCAAAGCCTAAAAGAGACAATGGATGAGTTCAAAGCCATCCTGGTCTACAGAGCAAGTTCCAGGACAGGCTCCA